ACACAGCCAGCGCTGCGGGGGGGCTGGGGGGCGAGCTCTCACCATGGGGCATCACGACCAGGGGGGGCTTCTGGGCAGTGGGACCCTCGCTCGGGCGCAGCAGGATGGCATCGAAGTCCAGGCCCCCTGCGGGGGTGGTGGAGGCAGGGTCAGGGCTCAGCAGAGACGGGTGAGAGCCCTGCTGCCCCCGGTGCTCACCGTACTGGGGGTTCTCCTGCTCCGGGGGGGGCTGCAGGGTGCGGAATGCTCCAGCTGATGCTGGGCACGGGGGGTGCAGTCCTGCAGGCACACCCACTGCACCTGCGCCTCCTGGCCCGCGCTGGGCAGGACAGCGACTCTCTGCGTGGGGAGAAGCTTCAGTGCCAGCGGCCGGGGGGCTGGGGGTCACTGTGGGGACGGGGACGGCACCGTACCAGCGTGGGGGGGCAGCTGGGGGTGGAGAACTTGGCCACTAGGAGGTCCCGGTCGATGGTGAGGACAGACCAGCTCCCCTGGGGTGCACCTGGGGAGGACGGGAGGCTCAGAGCTGCAGGCAGGACCAGCCCCAGCCCCCAGCACGGCACAGCACGGCACTCACCGGCTGTCAGAGAGGTCGTGGCACCCGTCTGTGTGTCCACCACAAACACGTCCTAGGGGCAGGAGGGCAGAGTCCAGCCGGGCACCAGCCACGGCCCCGCCACGTGTCCCCGTGTCCCCGTGTCCCCTTACCTGCTGGCTGCGCTGGGCCGTGTCCAGCACAAGCCTCCGGCTGTCGGCCGCCCAGCACAGCGCCGGCAGGGCGCTGCAGTAGATGCCGGGGAAGGTGCCTGCGGGGGGAGCGTCGTGGCTCAGCACCCCCTGCACCCCATCTCCCCAGAGCTCCCCGCGGGGCCGTACTCACCCCACGCCTGCCGCGGGACGGCCTCCAGCACGGTGCGGGTCTGCTCAGTGTACCAGTCGTACTGCGGGACACAGCGGGCCGGGGGGGCTTTGTCGGGTCCCATCCTGCCCACCAGCCCCCTCTGAACCCCTCCCGGGTGCAGTTTTGGGGCCCAGCTGCTCACCATGAGGAGGCGGCTGCACTGCTGGTGGGGCCCCAGGGCGCTGTTCTCCAGGTAGGCGATGCGGCAGCGATCGGGGCTGAGCCGCGGGGACCACACGGCCCTGGTGTCATCCGAGAGCAGCTCTGCGAGGGGACGAGGGGACGCTGAGAGGGTGCAGGGGGCTGGGGGAGAGCGGGCACCTGCTGGGGGCTGGGGGAGAGCCACTCACCACAATCCCCACCCGTCAGATCCACGTAGAAGAGTGCCTGAGCTGCCGGGGAGAGGGGGACCGTCACTGCGGGGCGGGCTGGGGGTCCCCCAGGGGTTTGGGGTGCCCGGGGAGGACCGGCACTCACCGGCGGTTGGTGCAGTGCCGCAGCCCCAGGCGGAAGGGCTCAGTGCCACCAGCCCACGAACACCACGCCGGTGTCTTCTGGGGACCAGAAGGCCTGCCCGCAGGGAGACGGCGCCGCTCAGGTGATGGTGTCACCCATTTCCCACCACCTCCCCCGTCCCCGCTGTCCCCATCCTGACCTGTCCGGGGGAGACGTGCTCAGGGACTGCCCTCCAGCACCGAGACGCTGCTGCCCTCGATGTCCAGCACGCAGAGCACGGGGACGCTGCAGGTGCTCAGCGTCTCCCCCCAGTCCTCGCGGTACACGAACTGCTCGCCCTGCGGCACGGCCTCAGTCAGTGCCACCCGCGGGGCGCGAAGCCGTCACCCCGGGGGTGTCGGGGACCCACCTTGAGGGGCGCGTCCGGCTTCTCGGGGCGCTCCAGGTCCTCATCCGTGGAGCGGTCCAGCTCCGGCGCTTTGCTCTGGAAGAAGGACTCGGCCTTGGGGCGCTTCTTCTCCGCCACGTAGAGCAGGTGGGTCTCCGAGTGCGACCAGGCCAGGCAGCCGAACTGGTCTGCGGGGAGGCTCAGGCACCGGCCGCCCCAGTCCCCGGGGTCCCCCAGGGCCACCCCAGCCCTCGTCCCTCACCGTCATCATAGATGCTGCCGTGCTTGTCCAGCGCCGTCAGGTCGATGCTCTTCACCTTGCGGTTCTGATCCCACACCTGGGGGCGCAGGCACGGGATGGGGGCAGCCCGAGCCCCCCGCCCCTTCCCTGCTGCATCCCCCCCCGGCCCCCAGCTCACCTCCAGGAACTGCTTCTCCTTCTCCTTCTCCTTGCCGGCAGCCTTGCGCAGGACGGCCTTCAGCGCCCCGCTGGGGGACTCGCTGCTCAGCAGCCTGCGGGAAGGCCCCCACGGCCCCACGTCAGCCCCATGGCCCCAGCGGTGCGGGGACATGGGGCATGGGGGTGACGCGGGGCACGGGGGGGACGCACTCGTCCTTGATCTCGCAGCAGGTGCCGGCGGGCCCCGCGTAGACGATGGAGGTGGCATCATGGAAGACGAGGTACTGCCGGCACGACTTGATGGTCTCCGCCCGCGCCAGGTCCCGCTGCGACCACTCTGCGCGGGGACAAGGGGACGGGGTGAGCACCCCCGGCATCCCCCTCCCCGCGTGCCCCCCGCCCCGTCCCCGTCCCCGTACCGGTGTAGAGGCTGCAGTACTTGCCCCCGTACTGGGTGGTGACGTCCGGGCCCAGGCAGGCGGTGCTGAGCCCCGGGTGCTGGCTCAGCTCCCGGTACAGCCCCGCCACCTCCTCCAGGCTGGGCAGCACCTGCGGGACCGGCGGGCTGGCTGCGGGGCACGGGGCTGGGACCAGGGGCATGGGACAAGGCTGGGGGAACAGGGTATGGGGGGGGGGACCTGGGGGGGGCAGGGTATGTGGGGGGCAGTTATTAGGGTACCAGGGCATATGGGGGGGGCTATTGGGGTACTAGGGGGTATGGGGGGCTGCTATGGGGGTACCAGGGCATATGGGGGGGGGCTATGGGGGTACCAGGGCACACGGGGGGGTACTACTGGGGTGCTAGGGGACATGGGGGGCAGTTATAGGGGTACCAGGGCATATGGGGGGGGGGTATGGGGGTACCAGGGGACATGGTGGGGGGCTATCAGGGTACCATGGGATATGGGGGGGGCTACCAGGGTCCCAGGGCACACAGGGGGGTGCTATGGGGTACCAGGGCACGTGGGGTACAGTTACTGGGGTACCAAGGGACATGGGGGGGGGCTTCTGGGGTCTCAGGGCATATGGGGGGGGCTACTGGGGTACCAGGGCACATGGAGGGGGGGCTACCAGGGGCTATGGGGGTCCCAGGGCACATGGGGGGGGCTATGGGGGTACTAGGGGACATGGGGGGCAGTTATTGGGGTCCCAGGGCACTTGGGGGGCTATGGGGGTACCAGAGGCCATGGAGGGGGGGCTACCAGGGCCTATGGGGGGGCTATGGGAGTCCCAGGGCACACGGGGGGGCTCCTATGGGGGTCCCGGGGCACATGGGGGGGGGCACCTGCGGGCCCCGCGCAGGCACCGGGGGGGCTCCGGGCACGGGGGGGGGGCTCTGAGGGGGGGGGGGGGCAGCGGCGGGGACGCGCGCGGGCCGGGCCGGGCCCCCCGGTGACGTCACCTCCCCCCCCCCCAGCCCCTCACCACCGGCTCCATCTCGCGGCCTCGGGGGGGGGGCGGCTGCCGCTTCCGGGGGGCGGGGCGGGGCGGGGCCCCCCCGGACGCGTTACAGCGCCCCCTGGCGGCGCGGGGTGGGGGGGCGCTACCGGAGCGGGGGGGGACCCCAACCCCGACCCCCCCCCCCCCCCAAAAAGAAAACCCCAACCCCCCCGGGGCAGGCACGAGGCGGAGGCGGGTTCAGACCAAGTCCGCGTTGTTTTATTCCGTTCCCACAGAAACACCTGGGGGGGGGGTCGGGGGGGTGGTGGAGGGGGGGGGGCGACTCGTGGTACGCGGTCACGACACGGCGGCGGCACGGGGGGGGCACGACGGGGCTCACAGGGCACGGCACACACGCACACCGTCACTGGGGGGGGGCACGCGGCCCCCCAACACCCCCCCGCCCCCCAAAAAGGGGCCCCCCCAGCCCCGGGTGGGCGGCTGGAGGTGTGCTGGGGGGGGCCGGGGGGGGCCCGGTGCCGGTTACACACTGTACAGGTATTTACAGCGCCGGGGCTGGGGGGGGGGGGGAGCTGCGGCCCCCCCCCGGGCCCCTGTAGGGCGGCCAGGTCCTCTGCATCCCACACCGCCAGGAGCCGATGCGGGAGGGAGGCCGGCGGCCGTTTGAAATAATAATTTACAAAAAAAAAAATCAAAATAATCATCATCATAAAAAAATAAATAAATAAAGAGTCCAGGTGAAGGTAGAAGCGAGCGCTGTCGGGGGGCGTGCGGAGAAGCGGCGAAGCCATGCTGTACGGCGGGACGGGCACGGGGCACGGCGGCGACCCCGCGGCGGGGCGAGCAGGCCACGGGCTGCGGCTGGGGCTGGGGGCGCACGGGTGGCAGGGGGGGGGGACAAGGGGGGGGGGACCCGGTGTGGCGGTGACGCCCTTGGCACGCCACGTTGGAGCTGTCGGCTGCGGCCGGGGCTCGTTCCGGAGCCGTGGTGTTTCGTTGCATAGAACACGGGACGGGGTGCGCGGGGCACCGGGGCCGGCGGGACGGGGGGGCGCGAGGAGCGGGGCGGCCGGGCACGCCGCGGGGGTGGTGGGGACCCCTCCGCCGGTGCCAGCGGGCCCCGCGTAATGGCTTAAGAAGGACTTGAATTGCACAGTAAAGAGGAAGGATATCGGCAGAGGCTGAAGCTCTCCTGATCGTCTTCGGTGGATTGTGCTCTTGGTGTGGCCTCCTGCACTCTATTGCTTCTACAAACAACAGCCCATGTGCTAACTCGTCGCACAAAGCAAAGAGGGAAGAGGATTTGGTACAAAGTCAAATAAAAAAATCAATGAAATGAACCCAAAGAAACAAAAAAATGGAAAAATAAAAAGCCCGTCCCCCCCCCCCCCCTTCCCCGACAACACCCCGTTTCCCCCCCCCCGGTGCAGATGAGGTATACACAGAACTCAAAGTGGGATGATTAAGGCTGTTCTTCAAAGAAAAGGGGTGCCCGGCAGCGGGGCGCGCCGGCTGCGTGGCGAGGGCGAGCGTGGCCCTTTGAATGCTTCGAATGGCTTCAGGGCAGCGCCCGGCGTTGGCAAAGGCCAGCCCGTGTCTGCGCTGCCTGTCAGAGTCCTATGGCCTCGTATTTCGGTAGTGAAACAGTGTTAGGTCCTAACGGGGCGCGCCCACTCCCCGGGGGGGGAGCAGGCTGCAGTGCAGGGGGGCCAAGGGGCCGGCAGGACAGAGGGGACGGAAAGGGTGGCCCTCGGCTCGCGCGGAGGGGAAAAACCTATGAAGATGCCAGAGCTGGGGTTCGGAGGGAGCAACTCTGCGTATAATCTTGAGAAAGGGCCGCGGGTCCCGGCACGGCCCCTGGGCAAGCGGGGGTCCCCCCTACGCGTGCCGCGCCGGAGCTGCTGCTCGCCGCTGTCTGCTGCGTGAGGTCCGGCACCCAGGGGGTCACCCTGCTTTCCAAAGCTGCTGAGAGACAGAGGGACAGGGGTCAGGGAGGGGATGGGGACGCTGCCACCGGGCCGAGCGACAGGAGGTGATGAGGGCACCATGCCACAAAGGGCAGGAGCATCTGGAGCAGCTCCTGGTGCGGAGCTGGGGACGGCCCCGGGGGGCGGCTCACCGTTATACCCAGAGTCTGGCGCCGCGTGCTGAGGCCGCTGGCTTCTTCATAGGTTTTTCCGCTGCAACGACTCGGTCTCCACTCGCTTCCCCAGCTCCTGCGGTGGGAGGGCGTCAGGGCACGGCAGGGCAGGGACGCACCGGGGCGCGGCATCGGCGCCGCTCAACTCACCTTGTGCCGTTCTCACCAGAACGAAGTGAATTTCTTGCCAAAAGCTGACACCGCTGCGGGGAAGCCGGAGAAGCGTGAGGATAGAAGTGTCCTGATGCATCCCATGCCCAGACCCCAAACCAAAGCCATCAGACTGCGATGCTGGCGCATCCCGATGGAGGCTCCCGGCCCCCCCTGTGGTGCCTGACCCCGTCCCAATGCATCGCCGTCTGCGGGGTGCACCCTTACCTTCAGTCAGTTTGCCTGCTTGTTCTGCTGCCCCTCCCGGCAGGATTTTGGAGAAAACGCTCTCTCCTTCCACCCCAGGCTGCCCTGTGCCTGTGCTGGCAGGGCCACGGGGTCCGGCTGCCCTCGGCCCAACCTTGCTGTCTGCTGGGGGACAAAGGAGGCTGCTGTTAGCAGGGAAAAGCCCCTTGGGGGGGGGCAGCCAGGCAGCACGGGGCCAGCCCTGTGCCTCGGGGCGCACTGACCTGCTGCTCCTGGGGGCTGAGCCGTGGGCGCTCTCCCCGGCTGCTGCGGCACCTTCACCGCGGGTTTGGGCGCGTCCGTCTGCTCCGCTTTCTGCTGTGAGGCACAAAATGCCTTTAGGCTCTCACCCCCCCAGCCGGGACGGCAGAGCAGAGCACCCTTTAGGGTGGTCCGGGTGGGTGGGACGTGATGCAGGGCTTGCTGTGGCAATGCCTGTGTACTGCTCCCCAGGGAAAAAACGCAAAGTGCGGTGGGGAAGTGGCCCCACAGCCCCAGAAGAGGCAGGGGCGCAGGGCTGTGCACCCTCCCAAAGGTGCCATGTGGGGTGGCACGTGCACGGACATGCACATATGGGTCCCCTTTTGGTCCCCAACCCTTCCCCTGGGGCTTGCAGCAGACCCAGCCGTGCCCATACTCACCTGTGGCCCCGGGTGCCCACCCGGCTGCGCGTGCGGTGCGGCCGGTGCCTTCCCCGCAGCCTGGCCTGTCCCCGGCTGCTGCTGTGGTGGCCGGGACGAGGCGGGTCCCTGTGTCCTGGGCTGTGCTGAGCCCGCCGGCTGGGCAGCCTGCCTCGCCGCCGGCTGCTGCCGCGCTGCCTGCTGCCCAGCCTGCTGCTGCCTGCCCGCCGGCTGCTGCGCGGGTGTTGGTGCCTCTGATTTCTGCGCTGGGGCAGGTGCCCCGTGCGGCTGCGGCGTCTTCGCCGTCTTCTGGGGCTCAGCACCGTGGTGGTGCGTGGCAGGGCGTGATGACGGGGCGTACTCGGAGGCGCTGGGGCCGTACGGTGCCGTGCCGCGGGGCTCGGGCTGCTGCGCCTTCTTGGCAGTGGCCGGCGGCGCGTGGCCGCGGGGCTCGTGGCGGCCGGGCTCCCGCGGGTGCTGCTTGGCCGAGCGGCGCGGCTGCTCGTCGTGGCGGGAGGAGGCGGCGTGGCGCCCATAGTCGCCGTGGTGCCGGTGCTCGCGGTGCTGGGGGTAGTCGTCGTGCTGCCACGGGTCCTCGTCGGGCAGCTCGTCGTAGTCGTGGTAGGTGTGCTTAGCCGGGGGTCTCTTCTGCGAGGAAGAGTGGCCGCCGTAGTGCCTTACCCGCTCCGACCGCACCTCCCTGGGCTTATCAAACCAGTCTGTCTCCTCCTGACCCAAATGATAGGCTTCAGAAACCAAAAACAAACCACAGTCAATCTCTCGCTCCGCAGGCGGGAACGCAGCCCGGGCTGAAGCCATGCAATGAGGCAGGAGAAGGCAAGCAGCTGGTGACACACACAGGGGACAGCCCGCGCCGGCAGGGACAGGGTGGGGCACCGCGCAAGCACCGGGCAGCGCCGGCGAACATCAAACACCCGGACAAGGACTGGAAAGGGGGGAGGAAGGCACGTGTCAAGCAAACTGAGGCCGTGAGAGTGTCTCTGCAGACGAGCATGCCCCGGGGAAGCGCCATGCTCTGGGTGCTCACCACCACGGGTAGCTGTTACCTTCGCTGTCCGAGACAACGCAATGGGAATCGTCCATGCCGTAGCCCTCCTCGTGCTTGTACGAGTGGTTCCTTGGCACATCTTTGATGTGCTCTTGCACATCAGGCAACGAGTGGCTGGAGCAGAACTGGGAGCAGGGGTCCCCCGACGACTGTGGGCCAGGGCCCCCCGCCGAACGCGACCCCCCCACTGACTTCCCCAGGGGGCTGATGGGGCTCTCCTCCTCCGAGGGCTGCGTGCGGACCGGAGCCCGGCCCCGGCTCTGGCTCATGCTGAGGGACGAGGGTTTGGAGCTGCCCTTCTGGGACCTCTCTGCGCCCTCCCGCTCGTAGGACTTGCTCCGGCTGACGGTGTCACGGCCAGAGGACTTCTCCAGCCCGTAGCCAGAGGAGCGAGTTCTGCTGCCAGCGGAGTAGACCCGCTCCTCCTCGTCCACCAGGTCCCGGCTGGACACGCCATAGTACTTCTGCTGCTCGTAGACGTTCTTCTTGAGGCCATAGGTAATCTCGTCCTGCAGCTTCTTGGCCCTGGAGGCCACGTTGCTGCTGCTGACCGACGTTGTCACAGCGTAGGAGGCCAGGTCTGACTCCACGTCTTTGGCTTCTTCTATGGGAGAGAACTTGGAGATCTTCTGCTCCATGCCCTGCTTCCTGTGCTTGCTGCGCTTCGAGGAGACGACGGCGGGTGCCAGATTCTTGGACGAATGCTTTGGCAGTGCCACGCCGGAGCCATGCTTGTCCGCTCGCGAGGAGTGCCGGTACTCACCGTCCCCGTAGTAGTAGGAGCCCGCGGAGCTCCCCGACACCCTGCCGTTGCTCTCCACGCCCCGGTGGTAGCTGTTCTTCCCGCGATGCTCGGGGCCGTGGTGGTCATAGATATCCTCCTCGGACTCCTCCTCCGCTTTGGCATAGCAGCAGGGCCGGCCGGAGCCCTCGGCATCCCCCAGCTCGCTCTTCTCTTTGCCGTGGCGGCCGTTGGCGCCCGTGCCCCCCGGCTCCGCTTTCTGCCCGTCCACAGCTGGGCTCTCCTTGGTGAGCTCGCTGATGTCCTCGATCATCACGTAGTTACGGGGGATGTTCTGCTCCAGGTTGGTGTAGAGGGACTCGGAGGAGAAGCTGGCCGACGGGCCCTGCGTGACGCCAGCCCTCTCGGCCGGCCGGGCCTCGGGTGCCTTGTACTGCTCGTAGCCGCTGCTCACCGCTGCGGCGCTGAAGGTGGCGTCGGGGACGGCGGAGGAGCTGGTGGCCGCGCCGATGACCTCGTAGTTGGTGGGGATCTTCTGCTCCAGCTCAGCCAGCGAGGTCTGCCGTGGCTTCTGGTGCGTGTCCGACGGGCTCTGGAAGAGCGCGGGCTGCGCTGCAGGCACAGCGGCTGTGCCAGCGAAGGCGCCCTGGGCTTGGTAGGGGTTTTGGGGCCGGAAGCCCGGCTGGGCCGGGGTGCCCAGCTCCGTGTACGCGGCCCCGGGGGCCGGGAAGGCTCCGGGTGAGGCGAAGGCGGGCAAGGGGGCAGCCTGCAAGCTGTCCTGTGCGGTGCTGGCAGCGGGGAACTGGGGGGGCTGCGGGCGCGTGGGCTGGAAGGAGGGGGGCCCCGGCGGGGCCGGGTAGGGGTAGGCGCCGTAGGAGGCGGCGGCGAAGTCGGGGTACTGGGCGGCGGGCGCGGGGCGCAGGCTGGCGCTGTCGTAGGCGGCGAGGCGCAGGCTGTGCAGCTCGCTGTCTGACAGGTAGTCCCGGCGGTCGGCCAGGCCGCGCAGGTAGGGGTGGTCCCGAGTGCCCCGGTCCTTCAGCAGCGACTCCTTGCGCTGCGTGATGCCCAGCTCCAGGTATTTCAGCTTGGCGTCGATCTCCTTCTCCTCCTCGTCCAGCTCCGCCTGCTTCTTCCGCAGCTTCGTGGACTCGTGCTCCACCAGCTTCAGGTCGTGGTCCAGCTCCTTCAGCAGGCTGGCCTTGGTGACCGGTGCCCCGGGGGGGGCCTTGGGGGCCAGGCTGCCCAGGTAGAGCTGGGGGGTGGCTGGGCTGCCCAGGGGCACATGGGGCTCCTCGGGCGGCGGGCTGGGCAGTGTGCGCTTCACCTTGCGTGCCAGCGGGCTCGACTGCAGCCCACCCACCTGCAAAGCAAGGGAAACCCATCAGCAGCGCGGGTGGTGGCCGCCCAGCCCCCTGGGGCAAGGCAGCGCTGCCCGCGGGGCTGTGCAGAGCGGCCGAAGGCCCCGCGCGTGTCCCCTCGTGCCCTGAGAAAGCGGCGTTTATGTAAAGCTGTAATAAATAGGATGGAAGTAACAGGCAGGGCACTTTCTATGAATAATTACCAGGAGTGGCAGTGAGCCAAGTGCCAGGCTGGCCGTGGGCGCTCCAGCAGAGGAGCACCGCCGAGCGCTGCGAAGAGCCCTGCGCTTTGCAGCAGGGCTTGGAAATGCGGCAGGAGAGTGGCTGCACGGGGCCCGCTGAGCCAGGGGCTCTCTGAGGGCTGCATTTCCCTGCTGCACCCCAGGCGGGGCAGCTCGTGTCTGGGGACACCGGGCAGCCCGTCCCCTGCCTGCTCTTCCCCTGCGCTGCTCAGTAAGGAAGGGCGCTGCCAGGTTGTGCCTCGGTTTCCCCACTTGTGAAACGGGGCTGGCTGCGGATGGGAGCGAGGGCAGCTGCAGCCCAAAACTGAGCCGCACGTTGTGCCTGCTCCTTGGGAGAGGAAGGGGACCCAGCTGGGGCAACTGAAAACCCAGGCTCGCCTGTGGGGTGGCAGCTCCCATCTGTCTCCCCATGGACAAGCGGTGCCACCTCCACGGCCGCCCTGAGTACCCACAGACCTGGAGGAACCTCCTGCTGCTTGGCTTGGAGCCACGTGTCCACGCACACGGGCTGCCATCAGCTGCTGCAGGGAGCCAACCTTTTAAAATATTAATTGCTGCAGCAGTAATGAAACTGAAATGGCCTGAGGCGCCTCCTGGAGCTGTTCTCCCAGGGAAAGTCTATTTATTGCAGACCGAGAGCGTGTCAGGCGGCTGCGTGCCCAGCGCTGCCCCTCTCCTCCTGACAGTGCTGAAATGCCACCAAAAAAGGTTCAGCTCGGGTCAGAGTGGTCGGGCACACGCAGGAGGAGGATGTGGAGCGGGGACACACCTGTCCCCAGTGAGGAGAGATGTCCACCAAGAGGGGACGTGGGTGCGTGGGGACAGGGACACAGCGCGGCGTCAGCAGAGGAACCCTCGGGAGAGGTGCCTGAGCGAGACCCCACGTGCATGTACCTGGGTGCCTGGGAGCAGCGGGTGCTGGTAGAGGGAGAACCTGTCCTTGCCGGCCTCCTCCGAGGTGGGGCTGATGGGCTTGGGGTCGGACAGGGAGCGCTGCATGGTCTTGATGGGGCGCGGCAGCGTCTGCTGGCGCTGGGCCGAGTCGGCGAAGTGCTTCTGCGGCGGGACGTGAGCCTTGTTGAGCCGCTCGCTGGTGGCGAAGGAGGACTCCAGGAGGCGGTGCGGGGACAGGGGGGACACGGGGGAGTAGAGGACCTGGGGAGAGCGGGGCGGCTGGCGGGTCACCAGCTGGGAGAGGGAATCGGCTGGCAGGTGGGACTGGTACCCGATTTCCAGGGGGTCTGGCTTCTTCTTCTCAAACTTGCCCAGGGTCTGCTGCCGGACAGCGTGGGGGTCCAGGGGGCCCGTGCTCACCATCTGCATGTTGGTGGAGTAAGGGGTGATGGTGGTGGGCACCGTCAGCTGGGGCACCACGATGCCGGGCTGGGGGGGCGGCTCGGGCTCCGTCTGGCAGGCGAGGCTCTCGCCCCGCTGTGTCTTCTCCGGGGCCGAGATGTACTTGACGATCTCCACACGGGGGTCGTGGGTGGTGATGTGGATGGAGGGGGAGACGCGGAGGAGCTGGTCGGGCTCCGTCTGCACAGAGCAGTCGCTGATGGTCTGGATGCCGATGCTGGCCGTGCAGCGTGCGGTGCCGTCTGCCTTGCCCTCGGCGCTGGCCTCAGCGTGCCGCGATGGCCGGGAGCGCCGGCGCCGCACGGGCTGCTCCCACTCCCCGCTGTCCTCCTCGTCCGTCTGCACGCTGCAGTCGGTGCTGCGCCGCGACCGCCGCCGCCGTGACAGCAGGTACCGCTCCTCGCCATCCTCCTCGTCCGTCTGCACGCTGCTGTCCGCCGTCTTCCTCGCCGCCTCCTTCTCGTAGGCATCCCGCAGCCGCGGCATCGAGTTCCTTTTCTTGATGCCCCGGCCAGGCTCCCAGGACTCCTCAGCTTGCAGGGACATGTCCGAGGCCGAGCTACTGAGGGGCCTCTGTGGCGCAGGGTAGCGGGGTCCGGCAGCACCCTCTGGCCCCCCAGGCAGCGCCTGGCCAGGTGGGGGCCACCCCTGCCCGTTGTGTGCGGGGCCCCGCGGTGCCTCGGCGGGTCCCTCGGGTGGGCGGGCGGCAGGCTCGGCAGCGCTGGGGAAGGTGCTCTTCTGCCTCTTCTGCTCCTCCAGCTGCTGCTGCAGCTGGTGCTGCAGCTGGTGGATGTGCTCGAGCTGGAGGCGCTGCTGGGCCAGCTGCTCCCGCTGCAGCGCCAGCTGCGCGTGCCGCTCCTCCTGCTGCTGCTGCAGCACCTGCTGCTTGATGCACTGCAGCTCCTGCAGCTCCCGCTGCACCAGCAGCTGTTCCTTCTCCCGGTGCCGCTGCAGCTCGGCGCGCTCCCGCTCCAGCTCCTCCTGCAGCCGCAGCTGCCGCAGCTTCTCCAGCTCCACGCGCTCCCGCTCCAGCTGCAGCACGTGCTCCTGCTGCTTGCGCTGCCGCTCCTCCTCCCGCTCCCGCTCCTCCAAGGGCGGCTTGGATGAGGGGGCCGCCTGCCCGCCCTCCTTGGCACCCGCTGCTGGTCCCTCGGCACGGGGGGCAGCCCCTGAGGCCTCCGCTCTCTGCAAGCCGGCAGCGGGGCCGGCGGGGGCTTTGGCGGTGGGGCCGGTGCCCGCCGCGGCGCTGCCCGGCTTGCCCAGGTAGACGGGGGTCTCCATCAGCGAGGAGGCTGGGAGGCGGCTGGGGGCCGGGTAGCGGTAGAGGCTCTGCGGTGCCAGCGGGACGCGGGGGGTGACGACGGGCATCCTGGCCAGGCTGGCCAGCGGGACGGCGGCCACGCCGGCTGGGCCGTAGGGTCGGTACAGCCCGCGCAGCATGGGGCGCAGCACAGAGGCTGGCTGGGTGGTGATGGGCAGCGTGGAGGCGATGGGAGTGTTGATGGTGGAGTAGATCATGCCGTCGGCCGCCCGCACGGTGGCGGAGGACGGGAACATCTGCCTGATGGCGCCCAGGCGCACGCCGGGCACGTTGTACTGCGCCAGGCTGCCAAAGCCCTGCCGCGCCTCGGGGACGTTAGGGTTGAACATCCCGCCGGGTTTCGGGGCCACGGCACCCCCCGGCTGAGCTGCCAGCCCCCCGCTGCCGCTGCTGGGGCCGTAGGGCAGCACGTCGGGGCCGTTGGCGTGCCGGCCCCCGTACTGGTCCATGGAGTTGAGCGCAGCGCACATGCGGCTGATCTCGCGCGCAGTCGTGGCGCTGTAGTGGGCCAGGCTGGACTCCTGGAAGCTGGCCAGGTCCCCTCGGGGCGAGTAGCGGTAATCGGAGTAGATGTTGGAGGCCGAGCTGTACCTCCTCATGGGGAGCGGGTGGCCCAGCAGCTCGGTGGGCTGGCGCAGGTCGGAGAAGGAGCCGTACTGCAGGCCCTGGCCCAGGTACCCCCCCTCGGCAAAGCCGACGCTGTAGGAATGCTTCATGGTGCTCAAGTCCACGGCAGCCTCACTGGCAGGGAAGGGCTGGTCCCCCTTTGGGGGGTAGTAGTTCATCCCAATTTCGGACAGGTTGGTGTCTGACATGGAGGAGTAGAGCCTCCCAAAGGTGCCGGTGGGGTAAAACTTCTGCTCCTCGTAGAGAGCAGGCGCTGGCTGCTCCCGGTACGGGAAGGTCTCCGGCAGCTCCGGCTCCCTGCTGCCATAGAGGGGCCCTCCGGCCTTCCTGCTGGGGACCGCGTCCCCAGCCTTCTTCTCGGGCATCTTGGAAGTGGGGTTGAAAGCACCAGTGCAGCTGCTGCCGAAGGGGAACTTGTAGACCACGTCACAGCAGGCCACCTGGCTCTCCGCCTTCACACCCGTCAGGTCCAGCACGTTGGCTGGGGGCTCCTCCTTCAGCACTTTGGTCACCGGGCCGCCTGCCACGTCCTCCACCTGCACCATCATCACCTGGGACTTCTTCCCTCCCAGGGCAAGGAGCGGGCTCTGGGTCTTCAGCTCCACTGGCACTGCCCGGTACAGCTCCGAGCCCTGCTCCTGTGGGAAGGGCTGTGGGACGCCGCTGCTGCTCTGCGCGATGCTGGTCTGCGTGATCAGCACGTCCTTCTTCACCATTTGGCTGGGCAAACTGTACCTCGAGAACTTCGCCTGGGGGGGAGCGGCCGGCTCGGGCTTGCCAGCAGGCGTGGGGCCAGCTGCCCCGCTGGCTCTGACGGCGCCCGTCTGCACGCCCTGCTCTACCTGCTTCACCTGCGCCAAGCACACCGGGCTGCCGGTCCCCTGCCCGAAGTCCATGCGGCTCTGGAAAGGGTCCCCGTAGACCACGGGCTGCTTGGGCTGGGAGATGAGCATCGGGGAGGCGATGGCGAGGCCGGCGGTGCTGGCGGCTGCAATGATGGCGTGGGGCTGCTCCTGGGCGTTGAGGTTGATGATCAGGGGCTGGATGGCCGTGGACTGCCGGCTTGGGAGCTGGTCCAAAGTCAGGCAGTACTTCCTGGCCTCGGTGGCCAAGGAGGTGAGATCCATGCCTTGGTCTGTTATGATGATGGGGGCGGACTTCAGAGCAGTCCGCAAGTCCACGGCACTACCACTCGGCACCTTGGGCCCCGGCTCGACGCGGGAGGTGCCGGGGATGGAGGAGATGCGGCACAGCGAGATGTTCTCCGCCGGGAGCGCTCCCCAGCCGTACAGCCCCGCGATGCCGTCGGCGCCTGAAGTCACGGGCACCTTCTGGGCTTGCTCCTTCCCATGCTGCGCCCGGACGTATGCACCCGGCGGCTGCTCCGGCTCCTGGCCGTACCCGTGTGGAATCATCTGCCGGCTCGTCCTGGTGGGAGACGAGGTGGGGGACTCGGAGGAGCTTGGCGGCTTGGTTTGGCTGGCCGCGTCGGCCGCCAGCGTGATCAGCATGAAGGGGGAGTCCTGCGAGGACTGCTGCCGGGCCAGGCGAGGCGAGCCTGCCCGGTGCGGCGTCTGCGTCCCTTGGGCCACCATGGGGGAAGAGGCGGAGGTGCCGGTGGTGGCGGGGACGTCATAGGCAAGGAGGGGGCTCTGCGTCTGCGTGGAGAACTCGGCAGTGGACTTGGTGGTGGGGCCAGGGGGCGCGGCCGCCCTGGGGACGGCACGGGTGGGACTCTGAGTAGGAGACGTTGGTGAGAGCGGGGGGCTGGAGCTTTTGAAGAACGGGTACGTCTTGGCCGGTGGGGGCTTGCTGTCGCTCACCGCTTGGAGCTTCTCCCTGGCCATTTGCACACCGGTCTCAACCGCTGCCTTGCTTCGGGAGACGTCCTCCGTCTGTGAGCCGTAGCTGATGGAGCTCTTCACCGGGCCGTAGCTCCTGGCGGGTGAGGCTGTGGGCTCTGCAGAGCTGTAGATCTGTGCTGTGCTGGCGGGGCTGGCTGCCGCTGTTGTGACTGCGCCGGTAGCTTTGCTGTAGGCGTAAGGAGCTGTCAGGGGCTTGGGACCTGGGCTGGGCGCTGCTGGGGTGCCCTGGAGCTTGGCCCGGTCCTGTCCTTCTTTTGTAAAATGCTGCGTGACCTGGACATCAGGAATGGCCTTGCTGCCCTCGGAGGCGGAAAAGGAGACAGGAGCAGAAAGCTGCGTGGGGCTGGTCCCAGGGGTGAGGGGACCCCCGTTCTGCTTCATCAGCTCAGCGTACGCGCTCTCGGCGTTCAGAAAGTGCTTTTCCTGGTACGCCTCCTCCTGCCCTTTCTTTTTGTCGCCCTGCTCCAGAGCCAGGTCAAACGAGGAGGACTGGTGCATTCTGGCGATGCTCTGCGAGGTCTGCAGGATCTCCTCGTACACCGCACCCGGCTTCGACAGGGTGCCCGGGTAGTCGGGCTGCGAGGGGTGCGCGGCGCTGCCCTCGTACCCGTACTCCTCCGCGTACTGGTACTCGAAGCCGTTCTGCCCCTCGGTGCCGCGGTACCCCACCTGCTGGTAGCTGCTGCCGTAGGAAACGCCCTGCTGGGCCTGCTGGATCTGCTGCTTCTGCATCATCTCTGCCTTCCTCATCATCTCCTCGTAGGCTTCCTCGGCGCTCTTGAGGGGCTTGCTGGCGGGCTGGCTGGGGCCGCTCTCCACCTTCTCGGTGGGGGAGTAGAGCGACATGAAGGTGGGCAGGTTGTACTCGCTGCCCGACTTGTACAGCTTGGAGGCCACGGCGTCGAAGCTCTCAGCCTCCGAGTCGATGGAGGGCGAGTACTCAGAGCAGGAGGAGCGGTGCAGCTCCTCCATCTCCGCCGCCTGCCGCAGCTCCTCGGTGGGGGAGGCATCCTCGATGGGGGAGAGGTTGCTGGGGGGAGTTTTGGAGCGCTCCCTCCTCCGCTGCGCCCGCAGCTCCTCCTTGTCACGCTTGGTCTTGCGCGCCGTGCTCCGGATGCGCTGCTGCTCCACCTCCCGCATCTTCTCCTGCTCCCGCAGCAGCTCCTCTTCCTCGCGCAGCTCCTCCTCCTCCGACGAGTCCTCGATGGTGGGCAGCAAGGGGCCGTGCGAGCGGTGCCGAGCCTTCCTCTGCTGCTTCACCTCCTCCAGCCGCTGCCGCCGGCTGGGGCTGCTGTCACTGTCCTCCTCCAGGGAGGAGATGGAAGTGGGCGAGGTGCCCGAGGTGTAGCTGGGCGTTGTGGCCGGCAGGGTGGAGGAGTACTCGCCGCGGGAGCGCTCCTCGGGCGAGCCCGTCAGGCTCTCCATCTCCAGCTCTGGCTCCCGCTCCAGGCTGGTGTCCGCGTCCTGGCTCATCTCCATCTCCCTGCCGTAGCCGGTCGTGCTGTTCAGCTCAATAGTCTTGAAGCGCCGCAGGCCCCCTTGGGCCGTGCTCATGTCGTCGCCCTCGGCTGCCTCCAGCTCCTTCCTCTCCTCCTTGTACAGGCTGCTGGCGCCGTGCGGCAGGTGCCGCTTGGCCAAGGGGGGCTCTTTGCTCTTCTCTGCGTCGGCCTTAGCGGCGCTGTACTTGGTGCGCCCATAGCCCCCCTCCTCCTCCTCCTCCTCCAGGTTGTCCTCCTCCGCACTCATCTCCAGGATCTGCCTCCGCATGAACTCCTCGTCGCTCACCTCCTCCCGGCCCTTGGGGTGGGGGGGCACCGGGGAGAAGCCCCCCTCGCTGCTGTCCTCCACGTAGTCGTGCCGCAGCTTGCTGCCGAACTCATCCGAAGACTCCATGCTCTCCCGCTGCTCCCTCTGGTTCTCCCACTCCAGCGAGTCCTCGTCTTCCTCCAGGATATCCTCCAGCTCCTCGTCCGAGTCGAAAGCTTCAGGGGTGATGGAGAGGTACCGGGGCCGCTGCCGCTGTCGCTGCTCCTCCCGCTGCTCCGAGCCCTTGCTGGGCTCTGCTGGGCCCCCCCGAGCCTCCAGCAGCGGCCTCATGCTGCTCTCCAGCTTGGTGAGCTCGGAGGGGCTCGGGGGGCTCTGCCCCGCCAGCCCCGTGCCGCTCAGCTTCTCCTCCTCCTGCTGCACCAGCCCCGTGATCTCGCTCTGCGAGCTGGAGATGCCGTCTGAGGAGTAGCCGGTGTCGCTCAGGCTCTGGGGGCTGCGGGACAGGTCCGGGGGGTAAGGCTTGCCCACATCCTACAGTGAGAGGGAGCGCAGCGTTAGACCCTACAGAGTGCCCCAAGTGCGAGGGGGCTCTGGGACCCCCCCCACCCCCCACCCCACCCGATAGGAAACACCAGGAGGCTGGCTAATGGGGATGTTCTTCGTTTTGTGTTAAAGACCCAGTGGTGGCTGCGCTCAGCTGGGATATTTATGGCCACGGGCCCATCCCCGGGGAGGGGAAGGGGCGAGCTGTGCCTCTGGCAGCCCCGAGAGCACCGTAACCGCTCCGGGGCTTAGGGCAGGAGCCAGAGGCTGCCCCGGGGCGCACTGCCTGGCCCAGCTGGCACGACCCTGTGGGACAGCAGCCTCACTGGCAGCAGTGCTGGGGCCGGCAGGCTTCGAATGAAATTTAATTTCCCTGATTGACAGCCCCGCAAAGCAGCCTAGAGAAACAAGGCAGTCCCCGGGATCCTCGTTAGATGCCAGCAGAAACAAATGTGACGTTTTAATTGACGGCACTGTTAAGCAGCGCTGGGGAGAGACTCAGCACTGTGCCAGGGAGCGGGGAAAGCACCCGAGACCCCACGAGCAGGAGGCCCCACGGATCCCGGGGGATTTAGGAAGCATCAGTGGGGCGAGGAGCCTCTTCCCCAGGGGCTGTGTTGGCAGGGGGCAGCCAGCCCCCGGCCCGTGGGGGACGTTGTGAAGGCAGCTTCAGTGATGGCTCCTTAGGGAAAAGCATCCCAGTGCAGCCAAGCTTTTCCCCAAAGAGTATTCAATTAAAGAGGAAAAAAAATGAAAAAGGATTGAGGAGCTTGAAAAAGTGTTTCTGCAGCACAAGCTGGAAATGTTTTGAAAGGAGCTTTTCATTTAACGGCACATTCAACTGCCCTTCAAAATCAATGGGCTGAGGAGTACCTGAATTGTCGCGTTACGCACCAATTAATGCAATCATCCTAAAACGCAGGCACCTCGCCCCAATTAATGTGATCATCCTAAAACGCAGGCACCTATCGCACACTGCTGTACAGCGTGTGAAATGGCCCAGCAGCTTGGAAACGTTTTGTTTTGGCCTCACCATTTTCCTAAAGCACCTGAGTGGGGGACAAGAGGGGCTGACAACGGGCTCTGCTCTGCCCTGGCACGAAGTGACCGCGGGGAGGACACGGCACAGGGGCAGGGCAGGGCGCTCACCTCCTGCTCCTTCGTCCTCTGTGCCTCGGGGAGCACCCGTCCCACCTTGCTCTCCCCCTCCGGTTTTGTGCTGACGCTCTTCCCTTTGGGTGCTGGGGAAGGCTCCGGGGCGGCTTTGGGCAGCGGCTTCTCCTCTGCTGGCGCCGGGGGCTTCTTCTCCGGGGCAGGGCTGGGGGCCGGGCTCTGCTCGGGTGCCCGCAGGCTCCTGGCGGGCGAGGGCTGGCGGTCGGGGGGTGCTGCCGGCTCAGGGGGCGCGGGTGCCCGCGGGATGGCTGCCGGCGGCTGGTGGCGGGGGGAGCCGCTGGCAGGTTGCTTTGGGGCAGGCATCGGCACGGGGGCAGGGTCCGCCAGGCTCCCTTCCAGCAGCCGCTGCGTTTGGCAGTTCAGACACAGCCATTCGTTTTTCTGCAAGGCACGGAAAGGAAGAGCTCCGTTAGCCACCGGGGACCCTGCGCCGACAGGGCGTCCTGTTCTGCAGGGCTCAGCGGAGATGGACCTGCTGGATGCCAGCAAGACCAAGGACTTCCAGCAGTCAGCACGCCATGGGGTGAGCCTTGCTGAGCACTGGAGACCAGTGCTTTGTCCCCTCTAGACTGGGAGTGGAAAGTCGTTACTGCACTTCTTGGCAACGTGAAAACCATCCTCCCTTTATTTGCCATCTCTTTATTGTCCCCAGTGTTAATCACTAGATTTCGCACTGCCCACACCACAGCACCTTCAGCATCTCTCCAAGGGGGAACAAACCCGGCCTGACCCTGCCTTTGGCTCTGGGTTTGCTGCCCACAGGCTGGGGATGCTCAGCCCTGCTGGCTCCTCGCGTAAAAGCAGCTGAAAAGTCCTGTGGAAATGAGCAGACCGCTGCTCCCTGGGCTGCTAAGTGACCGAGCACACGTCGGAGGAATGCATCGCGCATCCAAAGCAGCGCACGCAGCGTGGGGAAGGACCACCCGGGACAATTTAGGAGAAAAAGTCTGGGTCCCCCAGCCAGGCACACCCTCACTGCCACAGCCTGCTGGGGACGAGCCTGGAGGAGCAGCTGCCGCTGCCCCATTTTTCTCTGCAGCTCTCTGCTTCGCCTCCAGCGGTGCCAGCGCTGGTGGCTTCGCCCTGCCTCACCGCCGGCACTGCTCCCTCCTGCCGCGGGGCTGTGCCCAGGCTCCCTCTGCTCCCTGATGTCCTCCAGGACAGGGGTGCGTCATGCTGCTGGCTCCTGCAGCCCCCGTCCCCGTCCCCGTGCCCGTCACCGCGGCGTCGTGGTGGCCAACATCCCGGCTGACGCTGCCACCACCCGAGTGACCGCGCCGCTGGTGGGGCCTGTGCAGCTTCCCTCCTGCTCGGATTTGTTTCCCTTGCTACAGTAGAGGAACAGAGGTTTAATAGCATCATCAGAATGCTTGAGGATCGTTTTTCTAGGTTATCAGAAAATCCTGGGTACATGAGCACATAAAAAACTTCCCAAAGATATTACCCAAAGTACACGCTGTGCGGAAAAGAACAAGACAATCTCGCCTAGTGAAGCTCTCAGCAAGAGCCGTCATTTTATGACCTGGAAAAAGCAGCTTGCAGCTGGGGCTGTAAGTGGCAGAAAGCCTGCAGGGAGGAGGCAGGAGCCCTGCACTAATAGATCAGAAGCACTCTCCCCCTCTGAGTCGTGAAAGGACTATTTTTACCCGCACAGGAATGTCCAGGAATAGGGCCCTGACATTTGCTTTACTTCTGATGTTTCATCATTTAAAATCTTTTCTTTTTCTCTTTTTTTTTTTCTCTTTTTTCCTTTCTGCGAACAGCGCAGTGCTCAGTGTCATTCCTTCCCACCCTGCCTTTTGGGTCGAGCCGCTGCTTCATGGTGGCCGAGCTGCAGGAGGAGCGGCTGGAGAGGAGCTCCCAGGCTGCCGGAGAGGTGGGCTGAGTCCTGCCACCCCTCCCGACCCCGCAGCAGCCCCTGCTCTGCTGCCCGCTCTTCATAGGAGCATCTTCAAGATACCCTGGGGCTGTGGAGGGCCTTAGATAAAAAGGAGGGCCTTAAAAAAAAAAGAAGCTTACAGCACGGTAATATTTAATTACCGCTTAATCAAAGAGAAAGTGTAATTAAGGGGCAAGTGCAGCCTATTGTATCTTGCTGATTGCATTTGTCTCCTTTTGTTTCAGAACTGGCTCTCGTCACTTTGCCTCCGAATCACATCTCCTTGCCGCACTCCGCCGTGTAATTATTTCAGGCGGTGGAAGAAAATGTAATTGTGTGCCCCCTCCTCACAGAAATGCCCGGCCTTCCTTTTGTGTTTCAGGAACACCGTTTTTCCCTGCCGGAGCTCCCCACGAGGGGAGGCGCAGAGGGGGTGACGTGGCCGTGCCGGGGAGAGCCGTGCCTGGCTCCTGCCCGCGGTGCCGTGCCCGTGGTGCCGTGCCCGCTGCCAGCTGGCTCCTGAGGATGCTGGAGGTGATCAGCCCACCTGTCCATCCTGCACAGCCCGTGAGGGGCTGGGCACGGCCGCTCCAGCCCTTTTGGGGCGATCTGGAGGACCAGGCGGGCGCGGGGTGACCCTGGCTGTGGGGAGCGCAGGAGGGCTGGCTGCAAGCGCGCTGCTCCCTCCAGCAGCCGTCCCGGCCAGGGCAGCTCTCCCCTCGCCATCCCGCTGCAGCAGACGTGACGGGGCTCCGTGGGGCTGCAGCGGGAACCGGAGAAGGGAAGGATCTCTGTTAAAAATAGCCCTGCCAAAAGGATTGTGGCTTTGAAACCGGGACAGGACCGGGGCAGGTCGCACGCCGGACCTCAGCCTTCGCTCGCTGTGAGGCTGGGCCCCAGGGGCTGATTTTCTCAGCGCTCAGAATCGCCTCGGAGGGCGCGGGGCCAGCAGCAGGGCGCTGCGGTGCCCGAGGCCCCCCCCCAGGGGACGTGTGTGAGGTCCCCTCCCCGGGCTGGCACCCGCTGGCAGGTGGCCAAAGCCGCGTTCGCCAAGCCCTAACCGGGCTGGCACCCAGCGATTGTTGTAATCCACTAATGGGCAATGACAAAACTGTAATTAACGGCAATAGAAGCCTTCCTGCAGCATTTTGGTCAACATCACCGCCTGGCAAGTTAATTAAATGCTGAATCCCCCGGCGCCGGCGGGGTTTGTTGTAATGATGGAGCCGCCGAGCTGCAGCCCCGCCACGCCGGCAGATTCAGCCCCACGCAGACCCCTCCTGCCTCCTCAGCTCCAGGGCTCTGCCCTGTTATTTGTGCTCCCCAGTATTATTTTACGCAGTCGAAGCCATGGATATTAAAATACCGGCTCGAGGCCCGTACCAAATCAGATAAGCAGCGCGAGGTGCGAGTATCCTCCAAGCTGGGTCTCATCTCCCAGCATCAAACGCAGCGAATCTCCCAGGAATATTTCATTTATTTGCTGACAAGCACAGTGCAGGGCTCGTCGCCGTGACAGATGGGAGCCTGGGAAATATGGAAAACACTTCTGCTCTCCGAAGCAAGATCCAAATTAACAGCAAGCATCCCTCCAGCCTCCCCGTTTAGGAGGTCTGCTGGCACCCGCGCCCCTTCCACGCACCCTCCTGCAGCGGGGACGGGGACATCGCCCGGCAGGACCCCAGCTCCCAAGGCTCAGCATCCCTGTGATCTGTCTGCAACGTCAACGCTTTCAGCAGGTTTAAAGGAGCGGGGCTGACTCGTGCTTCGCCATTCAACGCCAGAGCTGTTTCAGACCCCCCCGAATTCCCCCTGCCACCCATCCTAATCCCACGGCGTCGCACCCAGGCGCTTGGCTGCTTTCCTTCCAGCCCTTATCCACCGATCTAATGAAAGATGTTATCTCTGCCTCGCCCCGCTCCTCTCGGATGAACAGCGGTGCTAATTCATTTATCTCCCAGGATGCTGCCACCCGAGGGCCGCCCAACGCTTCCCTCCCTCGGCTTCGGCCCATGAGAGCAGCTGAATTCCTCGGGGCCATTCAGAGCAAATCCTCTGCGGGCTGCAGGCACCAGGCTGCCAAACCCAGCCCGCCGAGCCCCGTCCCGGAGAGAAGGTGCCCGAGGAGCGGTGGCGGTGCGAACCCGAGCACATCCCCAGCGGGGCGTTTTTAGCCCTGTACAGCTCCCTTTTTGCTGCCCCCCTACAGGGTTGGTTCACCCAGCGAGCTACCTGAACGATTTGGGGGATAGCAGAAGGCTTTGCGGTCTCTGGTATCAACCCCTTTGAGAATTTCTTAATCCTTTCCTGAACAGCAGCCCTGCAAGGCGACTTGCAGCCCAGACGCCGCTTTGTGCAGGACGCTGTGTGAGAGGGGAGGCAGGATTTGTGTCCCCACGAATGGTGAGCTTGCAAACACAGCAGCACGAAGCTGCAGGCACCTTCCTCTCCAGGGCAAGGCAGCGCCGGGACCTCATCCCTCAGCAGAGTTTATTCATCTGCCCGGGCAGATGGGGCTGGCAGTGCCTGCCCGGCCCTACTGTGGCTGTCACACCACAGTACCGTGACTCAAAGCAGGGCAGGGTGAGCTTGCTGCAGTCACACGTCGCCAGAATGAGCCCTGCCATAGCTTCTCCTCCCCTTTGCAGACACCCCTGCATGGGAAAACCCCCACACGGGAACTTTTCCTCCCGATTTCTGCCCCTACACCCCGCCAAGCTGCTCACTTGGGCATACAGAGGGGACCCGGTGCTGGCCACGGGCAGCGGCGCTGGCCTGCAGCCAGGCAGCATCCACCACGGTCACCACTGCCACATCAGCCAGAGAGGGATTAATCCAGCTGAAAGTCTTTGACTGATGAGTAATAGCACGGCTCCTGTTCGTTTTCCTTCGAGGAACGAGCGTGTGCTTGCCAAGTCCGGCTTACTGCGTGACAGCGCCGGTGGGACAGCCCAGTAAATGCGGGCGCGATGGGGAGAAAGCAGCGCGAGAGAAACCACGGAGGTTTCTCCGGGAGGAAAGGGGCTCCTGACTCAGCATTTCAGACCCCAAAATGCTCCTGCCAGCACGGGCAGCTGCTCTGCACCATGAAGAATTTGCAGGCCCGTGGCTCGCGGGGCTGCCGGTGGCTCCTCCGTGCCGTGGTGCCGCGCAGGGCACCCACAGGACCCCGGGGATTTCAAACGAGTCCTTCTGGGATGCTTTATGGGGGCTCTTGAATCGCTCGGTTTTTAGAGTTCACCTCTTAAACGCAGACTGTCGGAGGCAGTTTTCTCCTCCCAGAAACCCACAGGCTCGGGCTGAACGCTTGTGCACCGAGGGCTGGGCAGGGGTCCAGCACCAAGTGCCACCTGGACGGGGTGGCACAAGGCGGGGATGCTTTCTGAGCAGCATCCTTGTGCACCCGCAGCCCGTGCTTGGAGCTGCGATGACCCCAAATCCCCCAAATGTGCCTCTATGCTCTGCCCCCTAGTCATTTTCCACCCACTTCCAAAATTAGCAG